AAATATTTGCAATGCATATCACAAATAAAGGGCTGGTATCTCTAATTATAAATAACTCTTAAAAATCAAGGAAAATGAGTAAAAGCTGTCTTGAGAAACGGGCAAAAGATAGACAAACAGTCCTTAAACCTATGAAAATGTGCTGAATTACACTCAAAATAAGAGAAAGGCAAATTGAAATTATTGAGATGCCATTTCTTACTTATTATACTGGTGAAAATTCAGAAGCTCCACCAACACTGTTGGTGACACTGTGAAGAAACAGGTACTTTCATACATTGCCGGTGAGAGTGCAAAATAGTGCAACCCTACGTGGGGGAATGAGGAGCTCTGGTGGTGCAGTGGTTAAAAGCACTTGGCTGCTAACCAAAAGGTGGGTGATTTGAATCCACCAGCCGCTCCGTGGGAGGAAGATGCGGCAGTCTGCCTCTGTAAAGATTTTCAGCCTTGGAAATCCTATGGGACAGTTCTACTCCGTCCTATAGTGTCACTGTGAGTCGGAATTGACTCAACGGCAGTGAGTTTGGTTTGGAGTTGGGAAGTAGGGAAATTCGACAACATGTACTAACCCTAGGTCCACTCACAGCAACCTATCCTAAAAATACAATATTCAACCATATGAGAAACATAAGCATAAGGTTATTAGTTGAGAAATTATTTGGAATAGCAAAATATTGGAGACAACCTGAATATCCATCCATAGAAGAATGGCTGAATAAACAGTGATACATATACACAATGGAGTAGCATGCCAGCTATAAAAAAAAAAAGAGGAAGCTATCTATAAACTGATATGAAGTGATTTACACAATACAGTGTTAAGTGAAAAAAAAAAAAGCAAGAAAAATGCAAAATAATATACATAGCACGGCAACTTTACATAAGAAGGAAAGAATAATAATGCGTTGGTTACCCACAAAGGAAGGGGAAAAGGGGCGGAAGGGAGTAAGGCTTTGCCAAAAACACCTTATTAGCTAGTTTTGACTTTTAAACCATACTCATGTTTTACCTATTAAAAAATCACCAAAGATGGAAAAACTAAAATTTAATACAAACACAAACAAATGAACCTAAATATATACCAGTTAATAGAATAACCACACAGAAAAAATAATAGAAGTGACTTCCGAACACAGTACTTTGTATATCTCCATGGGATAAATATATATATATACCTTTATATACACACATACATCTATATACACACACATTAATATACACCTACATGTATATATAAACACACACACAGCTATATATACACTATATATACACACACGTGTATATATCTAAATATGTATTTTAAGGACAAAAAGAGCTGCAAAGAAATCATGACATCTACTTAGCAGTACTTAGTTGTTGTTGGTAGTGATGTTGGTATAGTAATTCCAACCAAATGAGCAAATATATGGATGTTTCTGGGAACCAAAATTCTCATTGTGGGAGAAAGGAGATATTAGTATGGAATGCAGGAAGACAGGGAAGAACCCTGAGGTGTAGAACTGGAATGGAGTTATTAGTATTAACTTATGATGATTTTAAAAATATATACTTGCTAGCTCTATCCATTGAAAAGGCCTAGAAGCACAAAGACATATCAATGTGTATATATACACAGATCTGCACACAGAAATAATTATATTGGATATAGTACATGGGTTGCCATGAGTCAGAATCAACTCAATAGCAACTAACAACAACAGAAACATAATTATAAACATATAAATATAGAGAGAGAGAAAAAGCAAATGGAGCAAAATATTAACAATTGGTGGATCTAGGTGAAGGGTATATGGATGTTTGCTGTACTTGCAGCTTTTCTCAGGGTTTGTAATAGTTCAAAATAAAAAGTCAGGAAAAAAAGAACAAAGAGTTCACGTCTATCATTGCTTTCCATCCTGTTTGCATTTTAGTTGCTCTTCTCTGGACTTTTCCTAGCTTTGTTTAATCTTTCTCGAGTGAGATGTGGTGACCAAAACCACCTAGGGCAACCTCCAAGGCACAGGAACACCATCCCTGCACCTCAGGATGAGATGTCTTTGGCTTGGTTTTACACACTCCTTGATGGGTCCAATATTCCGTTAACCTGTAGCAACCGACAGGCTCTGATTCCCTAGGAGCCAGCTGTCATGACTCTCGGTCTCTTGCCAAGGATGTGATCAAAGTTCAAAGCCCTCACTGGTGAACCATTCCAATTATAAACTTACAGATGCCTTAACACTTATGAGCCATATTTCTGCCAACTCACATGAACTCATTAAACTCATTATTAGTTCTTTCTGTAAAATACTACCATTTATTTAATTCTTCATAATCTAGAAGAAACTCAGTATCATTGATTCACTCAACAAATATTTACTGAGCACAGAGCACTTCTAGCACTGGCGATACAGCAGAGAAAATAGACAAAAGTTCCAGCCTTAATAGAGCTTACGTTTTTGGGGATGGTAGATAGACAACAAGCAAGTAAATAAATAAAATACAGAGTGTGTCAGTTGGTGGTACAAACTACGGGAAAAAGCAGGCAAGGAGGATAGGGTCTGCGGCAAGGGCCAGAGGTGGACTGCAATTTTTAAATAGGGCATCCAGAGAAGGCTTCATTGAAAAGATGACATTGAAGCAAAGACTGGAAGAGGTGAGAGGGTAAGCCACAAAGATGTCTGGGGGTAAGAATGTTCCAGGATGTGCAAATATCATGTGGTGGCAGCATGCCTGGCCTGTTTGATAAACAGGAAGCTGGTGGAGCTGGAGCAGTAAGTGAAAGGGAAGGTAGAAGAAGAAGCTGGGGAGGTGAGGGGGCACATGGCACTACTGGCCTTACAGGACATTGTTGGCCTTTGGCCATGACTTGGAGTGAGACAGAAGATTCTGGAAGGCTCACATTTTTAAAGTCTCAGTGTGATGGTTAAGATTGTTTGTCAACTTGGCTGGGCCATGATTCTCAGTGTTTTGGCAGTTGTATAATGTTGTGATCACTTCCCGGCTGAGACTTGACACGTGATCACCCCCATGATGGGATCTGCTGAGTGGTACCGGTGGCGGCAGGGCCTGTGGCAGCTCACTGCCCCCTCAGCCTTCATCTCTCTGCCCTCTGCCGCCTAGGCCTTCCTGCTGTCTTTGCCAAGGCTTTTGCTTGTTCCAGATCCTGCAGCTGGCTCCTGTTCATCTGACCTCTGGTTCTTGGGACTTGGGCTAGCAGCTTACAGGCGGTCTTGCCTGCCTATCTTGAGATTTGTCGATCTTCACAGCCTGCAACAGCACTGCTCTCCGGCCCTCCAATCTTGGGTTCACCAGCCCCCGCAGCTACGTGAATCCAGAGAAGCTTCTTTCCT